AACTTTAAACCATTTACCGATCTAATTAATAAAAATTGATATGTATGGTGAAATAGTTTTAAATCGTGATTTCTAGCATGAAAAAGTTAGCATGCGAGATTTTTTTTTGTTTTTGGGTTAAGGAGGTTTGGTCTGTGGCAAAGTTGTAGCCAAAAGTGTGATGCGCAAAATATATTTTTTTGAATTTTTTACAATCAGTGGTTCAATAGATAACTTGGGTTGAAGAGGACGGCAAATTTAACATTTCGCAACGCATGGAAAGAACTACATCGTACGATGCGACTGCTGAGTGGACTTTTAATTTACAGTTCTAAGAACAAGAAAAAGATGAATATACAGATCACCATTACATTCATATTATTTATAAAACATCTTTCTGTATTACCAGCTTACATTTTTCACTTATAAGAATACATCATAAACAGGGTGTTAAAAATAAGCGTGGAGATACTTTACCTAGTAATTCCTTGGGTCAAAATAAACAGAAAATGAAGGATACAATTTTTTCCAAAATCGTTTCGTTAACCAGATATCCGCCATTTTGTATTTTTTACATACAAATATTTATCTTTACACTTTTCCAACCGATGTTTATGAAACTTGGTATGTATCCAACTTGGTATGTAGGTAGGAGAGACCCATGTTATAAAAAAAGATTCATCTCGATTCACCCTAAAATTTCAAAATTTAACACTTAACTACTATAAAATATACTTTACTACACCACAATATTTACGTATCACCATAAATCTTAAATAAAATAAAACGTTCACATTTTAAAAATCCAAAGTAAATCAATATAATCATATAATCAATATAAAAAAGTGCACTAGTACTTACTAGTGTCCAATAACAATTTGATGGATTTAACCAAAACCTTTTCTATTTAACTTATTTTCAGCTGTTAAATTTCAAACGATACGTTTTAGCTACATCATTAACATTATTATCATCATCATCGTTTGAGTTTGGGTTTGCGGCAATGTATTTTTATAATTAAAACCTTTAATTTGATACATACCAAACTTGACCTCTGCTGCTATTAATTGACTGTATGGACTATTAATTAACAGCTGTGTCTAAGGATTACGTCGGCCTTAGTCACTAACAGGACAACAAGATCGCTCCACTCATCACACACTCAACTCCATTCATACTTGGATTAAAATGCATACATTTGTATGGTCGCCATTTCAAAAACAGGTAAAATTGTATTAAAATTATATAAGAATTTTGTCTTAGTCTTTGTGGTCCATCCCCCTTAAGGGATTAAACAGTGATAATAGCTTAAGACAGTTAGTAGATATTTATGGCTATTATATTATTGATATACCAAGTCTCACTACTTTATCTATATTGTTAAAAAAATATAGCCAATCCAGGACTTTTCAACCATACTGTATAACGCCAACACGAAATTTTTCCGTTGAACTCCTCCGAATTTCTTAGGTGATTTTGACCATTCATGTCTCATTAGAAAGAGCGTGTCACGTACATTTGCAAACCAACCTTACATTTTTAAATCCCTTGGGCTCAGCCCCAGCGGCTCATGATATGAACCCATGTTATGCCTATGAAGAACATATCGATTTATTTATATTAGGATCAGCCCAGTTAATTGCTGTTATGCAATTCAAGGAAATAATGTAGGTTACATTATTAACATGTTACTGATTTGTTTCAAATACTATATTTACTATTTCTATTTGGGTTTGCAGGATAATTTAATCCATTTTACCAAACAATAAAATTAATGGACAAAGTACTATATTTCATGAGCTATCATTGAAAGGACCGATTGAAGTCCTCATCATAATGCCTACTAAAGCAATTAAAATTGAGACGAACATGTAATGCACGAAATCAGGTGGTTCTTAAGTATGTGAAAATATGTATCGCTATTCAAAAACAGACGGAAAACTTGTAACCATATTCTTGACAACGGGTGTAACCATGTAACATGGCTACATTATCAATGACAAACGTGGACAACCTTATACCAGTGTGAGTACGTCCGAAACAGAGTAAGTCCGAAAACAACTCTAAAAAACAATAAGCAATAAATTGCAAGAACCGTTGCTTATATCATTGGGTACGGTATACACGTATCCACTGACGTGTATACTCAATGCTTATATCGAACTGTTATATGTACATCGTGAGTTGTTCCATTAGTTGTTTCATTTAGTTGTGTGTCCATTAGTATAGTAGTTTAGTTGACTCTTTTAAAGTCGGCGGAAATTGTGACTGTTATTACCCTTGAAATGTTTGTGAAGTACTTTGCAATCCTATCAATGCTTATAGAATCATACGATTACAATTTTCTGGTTAGAATATGTCGCATAGAGTGGTGACTAATGTATCTTTTTGGTTTGCTTGTAAAACAGGATCAACAGAGATTTTCCATCGACTTAAACAATACGATACTCCCAAATTGTTCATTGCAATAACAAAATATCACACAGTTTGATGAATATTTGTGTGTAAACCACATACAGTACACCTTTATTCTATCTATTTTACCTTTTATTTTTCCAAGACTTTATAGAAAATCACGCATTACGTGATCAGTGAAGAAAAGGCTGTAGGGATCCCATGTGTTTTATAGGTAAAGAAGACAAGGGCCTAGACATATATTTTGGGGGGGGGGGTCACCGGGGGCCTGGGGGGTATGGAATACCCCCCAAAAAGGAGGGGGTCTTGGGGTTCCCCCCAGGAAAAATATATAAATAAATAAATATAGGCTATACAGGGTGATCAACTCAAGGAGGCCACCATTGGGATATCGGAAACGGTAAAAACTAGAGAGAACTTAAAATGGAAGACATTCCTTTATTTTTTGTGGCAGTTTAAAATATGATTTTAGTCGTTTGAAATTCAGCCGCCATTTCCCAAAATGGCGACCAAATTTGAAATTTCTTATCGAACACCCTATATTTTATCATGTTTTCGGACATAATAGGCAATTTTAAAACTTTTTTATCCTTGACATTTTTTCGATAAACCCACTCGTTTAGGAGTTACAGCCTATGGAAAAATGACTTCCGGTGTACATATTAAATCATGTAGCTCCTAAACAAGTAAGTTTAAAGCAAAAATACGAGGAGTAAAAAAGTCTTACAATTGCATCCACATTCCAAAAAGACCATAAAATTAATTAAAAATATAAATTATATTATTTAAAAAAATGGCGGCAAACTTGAAAAGTGGAAAACTTTTTATTTTATAGTCTTTAATGAATGAAGATGCAATTCTAAGACTAATTTACTTTTTGCAATTTTGCTCTAAACTTACTCGTTTAGGAGCTACATGATGTAAAATGTACACCGGAAGTCATTTTTCCATAGGCTGTACTCCTAAACGAGTGGGTTTATCGAAAAAGTGTCAAGGCTAAAAAAGTTTTTAAATTGCATATTCTATCCGAAAACATGATAAAAAAACTAAAATCATATTTTTAAATGCCACAAAAAATAAAGGAATGTCCCCCATTTAATGTTTTCTCTAATTCTTACCGTTTCCGACTTCCCAATGGTGGCCTCCTTGAGTTGATCACCCTGTATATATGAATTTGAACGGATGGTGTTTTTGGCCTCTAGGGACCTAAAAACGAAAAATTAAATCGGTCCCGGGTCCAAGTGTTACCATAAGTACTACGGTAATAGCTTATTCCCTATATGGGAAATTCGCCAAAAACCTAATAGTTATATAGAACAATATTACATTCAACCAGCTGTTAGTTAAAACAAATTATATGGGACTAAAACAAATTGATGATTACAAAGATTCCTTTAAAAAATAATTTGAACATCCTACTATTTTTCTATGCAAATTTAAATAATCTGCCATCCTCATACCTAGTAATTGAATGTATCAATGGTCAGCATTACACATAGTATAAATAAGTCAACTCTAAATATGTCTTTAAATTTGTTTCCAAATGCTGAATTTGTGTCACAAATGCTGAATGTTTACAGCTGTTATGTTAAGCAAATTATATTGTACTAAAAGCTAGCTTAGAAGGTTAGCGTCGGCTGCTAGAGTTTTTAAAAATTAAAACTTAATTTCTAAAAAAACTGGGACCATTAATTATAATTATGGCTTAAACATTCCCTAGTTCTCAAAATTGTCTTTCTTTCAACACAAAACTAATGAAAATCCATCGTCTGGTTTATTCAGAATCGTGAAAAAACCCCATTTACGTTTTAATAATATATATGATAGTTTGGACAGGTTTCAACCCTTCCGAGGCGTAATACATTTACACAGTTTATATGTAGACTACATTATAACTCATAAAATAGTTCTACAATTAAATGGATCTCCTTTTACAAACGTATATAATAACCAGAAATTTTCAGATCGTCCTTGCGTGTATTTTATGCCACAAATTTTGACGAAAGGCTTTTCATTACATAAACTATACCTATTTACAGTGTTGACCAAACAGTTGGCAAGAAGCATTAATAGATAAGCTATGTACCAAATATGATAATTTTAGCTCTATTCTAATTATGACAAAACACGAAGTAACTAAAAGCAGGTTTTGTTGGTGTAGTATGCGTTGCAGGAGGTCTACTTTACACTGAATCGACGTTCACTTTTATTGCTTTTGATCTTCCGGCACTGTTGACTCAGCGAAACTGAACTTGTATTTTACCGTATTTCGTTATATTAAAACTGCTGTTGCATTAGGTCAAATTCCCAATAAGTCAATTGCTTTAACATAGACCACGTTTTTAGCTCGGACTGTACTATTTGACTTACTGGGACTTTTGATCTACAGACACTGCAAACATTGTAGTTTTTGACCTAGCGGCACAGGTATAAATTATTTGATCTTCCGGGACTGTTGACTTTCAGCAACATTCCCAAAACGTCTTGTTGGTAGTTGAATTCCAACAACGTATTTCTCTCTTACTTTGCTCGATGAACTCTAACTCATACATTTCTTAAATATTTTGAAAAATACTGTACAAGAAGCCTAATATTTACATGGACAGGTTCCGCTACTACCAGAACGTCTGCACACCAAGTTACAGTTTTGTTTGGTGGGACTGGCGCCACTGGGAGCGCCACATAGACTGGATGGCGCTCAACGGTATAAACCTGGCGTTGGCATTCAATGGTCAAGAGGCAATCTGGCAAAGGGTTTACAAACGACTTGACTTGACCAAGGAAGAGATTGATGAGCACTTTACTGGACCTGCGTTCTTTTCTTGGTACGCTTTTATCTTTGACATATTATGAAAGATTTCTGGGTACAGTATATGTTTGTTCTGGTCCACATAAAAAATTATTAATTTACTGATTTTATTGATAAGATTCTTTTATTCTTAAGAATTTTATTGATTTATTGAACAAACTGGATTAGCAAAAAGGGTCAGCAAGTTGTAATTTAAACTCCACTATCTCCGTGCAAACTTTTGTAATTGAAGAAAAATATAAAATTCAGGATGTAGAAATTAATTTTTGTATCCTGCTCCTGAATTTTTATACCAAATTTGAAGTAGGCACATGTGAATTTTTGTATGTATAAAATACAAGAATAGTATATTTCATAACAAGAGTGGAAAGTGAGTCATTACATTTTTGAGACCATGTTTGAAGTGCGAGATTTACTGAAAACTTTAAATGGTCGAGAATATGTATAGGACCCATACTTTTACTCGTGTTTTGAACGTTGGTTTTCGCTACACTACAAATACTAATATTATTTTCTTAAATAATACAGACATTGGATATTTCTTCATGACAATAATTAGGAACATATGACAAGACTCATAGCGTTTTATAGTTATGCCTTCAATTAAAAGTTAATATTTACTTTGGTTAACAAGTTAACAGTTGACAAAACAATAACAAATCTTTGTTTGTATTTATGTCGGCAAAATACCCCCGCCGCAGCAAACCTGCAAACTAAACGAATTTCCATTTTCCTGATTGAATTTACTAATAATGGAACTAATATTGGAACTAAAAATGTCTTCTTAAAAATATCACATTTATTCCCTATTTGAATAGAATTAGTTTAACGAGTACTTAGGTTTGCTTCTACAGGGAGGGTAAGTGTATTTTTTTTTGTAAAAGGTAATAGTTTAGTAATAAATAAATGCATTTTCCAAATTTGATCAAAATATGACCATAAACAAACAAACTACAACAGTTTCCTTATTTTCCATAAGAATAACATGGGAATTTTAAATTTACATTTTTTTTTAATTTTCTCCGTAACCATTAGACGCATAAGAATGCTTCAATATACTAAATCATTTTTTTTTGAGCTCTTTAAAATGGTTTGGAAAGAAATTGGTAAATTTTATGTTTTTTGGGTCAAAAATGGGTAAAACTAATTTTTCCCCATAAAACTCCCCATAAACCCCCGTTCCCATATCATCATGCTGATTCGCGAACTCGTTTGAATAAATGTAGGTTTACACGTTTATACCAAATTTCATCAAAATCGGATCGAGTTATCGTGCTAACGGACACATATATATATGAATTTTAACGGATGGTGTTTTTGGCCTCTAGGGACCTCAAAACGAAAAAGTAAATCGGTCCAGGTCTATGTCTTACCGTGAGTAATATTTACTACATGAGTTTATTTAGTACTACAGTAGTAGCTTATTCCCTATATGGAAAATTTGCTAAAAGATATAGTAGTTTACATTACTTTTGCATAGTAAATTCTTTTGCCATGTAGTAAACAATAATAATGCATTTTCGCAGGGGATAAACATGTAATTAAAACAGTTCATTTCACAGTAGTGTAGCAAAAATAATACAGGGTGCGGCAAAAATACCGATGGATTAAATTACTAATGGATTCGATTACTAGGCCGTCTGAGGGCGGTTGGTGTAGGCTCGTTGGATGGCCTATACAATGCCATTTCTTGTAGTCATAGAGCAGTGGTCGCCTGAGCTACGTGCGGTTGTTATCCAGTCGTTTTTAAAAAGTAGTAAATCAGTCATTGCAGCTATCAGTGGCAATTCGTGCTTTTATTCTATTAGGTCGACATGGAGAGGTTCCGTCGAGATTATCTGTATGGATAACACAATTAAACAGATTATTATTCTAATTAATCTGTAGGGATGAAAATTTACCTCAAAATTCGTTTAACTGAGCAGTGAGACATGTTCGGGCAGCCGCTTGTTTTCGGGCGGTCCTATGAGAACTGTCTTTCACAGCAGCACGAACTCTATCGAATGTTAGTTGACTGGCATCCGATCTGACTTTGGACGGTCTTTCAGCTTTCTTTTTAACGCAGAAGCCGTTGTCCTAAAGTTAGTAGCCCACCGCATTATATTGTGATACGCAACGGAACTTCTCCATGTCGCCTGAATTGAAAGAATGCATGAAACTGCCAATGCCGCTGATTTGCAACGAATGAATTCAATACTTTTAAAAACCATAACAACAGCACGTAGCTCAGGCGACCACTGCTCTATGACTACAAAAAAAGGCATTGTGTTAGACTTTCCAACGAGCCTACTCCCACCACTCTCAGACGACCTGCCACTGAACAGTGCTCTGCAGAAAATGTATAATTTTTTTGCCGCACCCTGTATTATTATGTATTAATAATTTACTGATTTATTTATTAAGACAATGAACCATGTTCTGCTCATTGACATCGTCAATAATTGTAAAATGCCTATGACAGTAAAGGATTTGATTGATTGATTACGGTAATTAATGTGGTTGACTGGTTTCGCCTCTCTCTCGGGTGCAGATTGCTGTAGTAAATAAATCGCCTGGCTACAAAAACTGCTGATCTTTAGTCAGTAACAAAGGTGTCATTTCATTTCTCACACGCATATTTTATACACATATTGGGATTACACGGCTTATTTGCATTTTAAACTGTTATAGTGATAACTAATTGATAGTACATTGCACCAAATTGAGTGATATATTCCAGGGGACGAATGGGGAATATCCGAGGGTGGGCAGGACCTCTCAGTCAGGATTGGCATGACAGCTCACTCACTCTACAGAAGATGATCCTGGAGAGGATGAGGTCCTTGGGCATAGTCCCTGTGCTGCCAGCATTTGCAGGACATGTTCCACACGCTTTGAAAAGGTACTTCAGAATCATGAAGTGTTGTAGCTTGAATTATTTCTTTAAGTTAATTATGGTAATGGTAAGCTAGTAGTGTAAAAGTATTGAATGCATTAATAGCCCTGGAACAACCAAAGTGACTAATATGGTATTTTTCAGAAAATTAGAGTCCATGGGCTAATGTTGTCGTATTGTGCCTAACTGACTATTATTTTTAAAACTTCAATATCCATTTAAATTAACCTTTGCTAAAGGACTGGTTTTATTTATTTCTAAAAGACTGTTTTGTCTTGATATTTAAATGTATAGTCATATGTTGAATTGTTTGAAAGGTAAATAAAGTTTAGTTTGTTGTTTTGTTCTGCATTGAACACAAGCTCAGTTTTATTCTGCTAAATTTAATCTAGCATTTTGTCATTTCCTAATATAATATCGTCCGTGATATCACTATTAATTGTGAATCGCGTATCAGTGACGACATCAATTGGCGACCGTGACAGGACATAAGAAATGACAAAACTAGAAGATCAACTAGTAGATTCAACGGCAATGCAGGGGAAAGCTCTGGAAGGACGTAGGCTAACGGCTTCGGGAGGCGGAGGTGACTTGGAGAGGCGCCTTCGTCTGGACCTTAAAGATGAAGGTGAAGACCGTGACACCTGCGAGTTGCCACAACTGGTAGGAGGAACTACGCAGTTGGTACAGCAACCACGAGCAGCGGACCCGGTGAGTTTCTTTCTAGAGAAGATTTTAACACAAGTACAGACTCAGTCAGAAAAAATGGATACTTATTTGGCAGATATTGACAATAAAATTACGTCCTCAATAAGAAAATTTACTCAAAAAGATTCAAAATTAAATACAAGAGTTGGACCATTAGAGTCAGATGCTGTCATTGAAACTATCAAAGATCCTAAGCTGGAAGATGGAGTGACTGATGAATCAAGTGGTTTGGAGATCAGAATCGATGTCATTGGAACGATGCTGAGCAGCAGGCAGGATGACGTGGAGAAGGACAGTATGGTCTTGGACCACTTGGCGGATCACCGAATGGATTCCACGGAGCAAACCGTGTTGGACATTGGGCCAATCTCTGGCTCTACGCCCTTCAACGAGAAAGTGAGTGCGATGTACAGGTTTAGGACTGAAAAACTATTCATAGACGAGAAGAATACTAGCGAGGAGACGACTTGTGGTGTGGACGAAGGGGATGATGATGAGGAGACGACATGTGATGTGGCCGAGGCTGATACTGACGAGGAGACGACCTGTGGTGTGAATGAAGGAGATACCGATGAGGAGACGACTTGTGGTGTGGACGAAGGGGATGATGACGAGGAGACGATATGTGATCTGGACGAGATCCCGCGTCGTTTGGAGACTTCTGGGAAAACGACAACCACCGCTTGTGAGGAACTGTTTTCTGCAATCAATGTTGCGTGCTTTGATTGCTTCAAGAATGTCAAGGACAGGCAAGGTGGGAAGGAACAGGAGGAGAAGATCACGCGCAGGAGCAAGATGATTCCTGACCACAACGGACAAAATGTAAGAGATGAAGAGAAGGCCAAAGAAACTGAAGACATTTTCAGTCAGCTCAGAAGTTGGAAGATAGAGCAGCAGATCAACCAATCTGATAGAAATGAGAAAGGTAGTGGGAGAGGAAGGAAAAAAACTTTCGCAGAGAAATACACAAGTCCCCAGAAGAAAAAGAAGAAGGAGAAGAAGACCAAGTGTAAAAACGGTCTAGGCTAAAGATTTTTCAAATCGATATTGAAGGTTTTAGGGGGGATAATTGTCGTATTGTGCCTAACTGACTATTATTTTTAAAACTTCAATATCCATTTAAATTAACCTTTGCTAAAGGACTGGTTTTATTTATTTCTAAAAGACTGTTTTGTCTTGATATTTAAATGTATAGTCATATGTTGAATTGTTTGAAAGGTAAATAAAGTTTAGTTTGTTGTTTTGTTCTGCATTGAACACAAGCTCAGTTTTATTCTGCTAAATTTAATCTAGCATTTTGTCATTTCCTAATATAATATTGTCCGTGATATCACTATTAATTGTGAATCGCGTATCAGTGACGACATCAATGTACACAGTAAAAGAATAATGACGACAATATGATGTTTCGTCCTGATGTATAAAACGCATCAGAGAGTAGATTGAAGAGAAATGTTACTCTTGTGTTGTGTTGTTGTTCTGTACTCTGAAGAAATCCTACATCAGGACGAAATATCAGTGACATCCATTATGTTTTGTGTTCTTTTATTGTGTACTACCAGTAACCTGGCGGGTAACTCTTCCAGCAAACTCAACTTTGTGCCCATTTATCGGTGGTCTAATCTATAAGACAGGACAGAATCCAAAACATGAAATGTTTGCAACTTATAATGATCGTGTAAAGACACAAATATTCGACTAATGAAAAAATAGCTTTAATAAATTTGTTACACTTATCTCAACTCAGTTTTTTCTCAGATAACTGTCAGACCCAATAAGGAATTCAACTATCTCTAAAAATGTTGTCTTCAATTCCAAAGAAAGTTTTCCAATATTTTTATTACAGTACAGCTGAGTTCTAAAATCTACCTATTATTTGCTACAATTTGCACACAAAAGATTTTAGATTGAAAACTTTATTTTTTTATTAGTACTCAGAATATTGAGAATTATTTTTCATCATACGGTCCGAAAAACTCCAGTTTTTAGTTCTCTAAATCGTCTGCAAAATCATCACATATGGTAAGTTTTTCAGGTCGCTTCGCTAACCTCAAAATTTGTTTGAAAACGCTGCTAATCACATGATTAAAATATCATGTTTGTAAACAACAAAATGTATGCATTGATGACGACTTCTTGTAACCTAAAATTCTGTGATCTAATTATGAAACAATTAGAAGGTTATTTCTAAAGTATGATAAAAATAGTTGTTCATCACACGAAGCTAAAGTGCCTTTTTGTATTTCCTAATAGTTTTTTCACCTTGCTTGTAAAACACGATTGCATACCAAATACCCACTTTCACTCCTAGTGATGAAAACTACTAATGTTAAGAAGTAAATTTGAACAGTAAATTAGAAGACCTTTTTATTGCAGGCTGTACCCAAATGTAAATTTCACTTTGGCTACACGATGGAACAATTTTGAAGACAAGTATTGTTGGTGAGTTTCTACTGTGTTAGAATGAATCTGTGATAGTTTAGTTTCTCTTTACTGTATTCTATATGTTACCGTATATTAAATGGTTACCATCCCTATGAGTTAACATCTAACTTTTAGTACAATAAGGGGTTTCTCTCTAACATCCCTTTTTCACCCATCCTACTTAACCGACCAGCAATATGTAAGTTCTCTGCTACAGGGAAGGAATTTTTTTTTTAATGTTTAAATTAAATTTTTTATCTTAAATTAGTTTTTTATTGCAAAAATAAATCCATAAACAAGCAAACTAACAAGATACTTTTTCGCCATGAGAAGATTATGGGAAATTAAAATGTGTTTTGAAGTTTTATCCGTAACAATTAATAACAAATAAACAACACTTCAATTGTTAGCTAGAAAATTTTGTTTTTTAAACCCAATGGCAGTAATGTAAATTTTGCATTACAGGTTTTAAGGGTAAAAATGTTATAAACCCAATTTTTGAAACAATCTAACACTTCATAGCACCCCTTTTCAAATATATATTTACATTTTAACAAATAGTATTTTTGGTCTCTGGTGACACCAAAATGAAAAAGTAAATCGATCCCAGGTGTAGGTCCTTACACTGTCACCTTACGCCTCTTCTCTTTAGGATAAATTTGCTATAAAGGCTACGAGTCCGAATATGCGAGAAAGAAATCTACCCTAACATTTTTTTTAGCTAATCTATCAGGATAATGAACTATAATGGAGTGTTTTGACATACTTTATGTTTCAGTCCTTACCTGTTATCTCCTGAAGACCCCTTATTCAAGGATATTGGATCCATGTTTTTACAAGAGGTAAGGCATGTCAAGTTAGGTTAAAAAGGAACCCAGATAAATAGTATTTTCATCACTATTCCCTAAAGTGAGTTGTTTAGCAATAATTTGAAGTGTCGGAAAATGAGAGAGAGGGTTGGAAAGACACTAGAGGCTTATGCCATAAATATACTATTTCATTCCGGTATGTTTTTTCCTTCGTGATGGCATTATTAATGTTATTCTTAGGTTGTCGGCTACTCATCACTAAAATAAATTAATCACAATTTACTAAAAAATGTGGAGGTATATTTCAAGTTTACATCAAAACAGAGAGGCTGAAGATGAGTTTTGATGTAAACTTGAAATATACCTCCACATTTTTTAGTAAATTGTGATTAATTTATTTTAGTGATGAGTAGCCGACAACCTAAGAATAACATAAATATACTACCAATTAATCATGATGGTAACTTAGTTATTGATGTACAGCCACAGAGAATGCTCAGTCTATGCCTGTTTATAAAAGCGGGTCTGCCCCCTCCCCTTCATTTACTACATCTCTCATGGTGAGGAGATGGTGTGGTAAGCTCCTCACCTTGTGCGATAGGAATTTCTGCTCAGTGCTCACTGCTTGGGCTCTTCCTCGCTTATCACATAAGTATATTTCCAGGTCAACATACCAGAAACTGGAAGTCCACGGTCATCTCATGAGCGTGTATCCTCTTTACCTTACTTCTCTGTGATACAACTGCGTGAAGACCTGTACACATTTTCCCTTGTACTTTTTTATCTAACTGGACTATACTTCAAAGGTGATGATTTACAATACGATACCAAAATTTTGTTTACACAATAAAAATAAAAATGAGTCAAAAATTTATTGTGATAGGACGACACGACAAAACTTATGAACAGTTTTAAATTCATATGAATTAGATGAAAAATGCCTTGATATAGACTTCTGGTCAGTATTGAAGTTATTGAATGTCAACTATAGAATTAAAGACAGGACATAATAGCCTATAAGGTATGTTTTATCTATGACATAAGCAAAGTATCAGTTTCCCAGATTTTTTTTATGTTCCATCTTCACAACTTGGACGCAAGGCACAAGTCAGGAACCATTTTAAACACTGTTTCAGGCTAAGTCTACTAGAAGGTGTCATCACTTTGATAACATCCTTTGATGATAGGCATGATATAATTTAAACTCAGGACCTCTGGAACCAATGTACTACTTGCTCTAAAGGTCGCTTTCCACAGTAGTGATTGAAAATGGTTCATATCAATATTCTAAAATCATTTTAATTCAAGACTAGAGCTGCCAGGACAAGAGCCTTCCAGAAGTCATGACTCCAGGAGGAGTCGGAGCTTCAACAGAAGTAGGGATGCATCCTCGTACAGTCATACATACCTAGACCTTGAATATATGTTCCAGATGATCAAAGAGTTTGGAACCAACCACATCTACAACTGTGACACATTCAATGAGATGCCACCAGCCCAGGGGGATCTAGACTTTCTCAGGAAAGTCGGAGAGTCTGTTTTTGATTCTATGACTCAAGTGGACAAAGACGCTGTTTGGTAATGAAATGAGTTAGTTATTCGTTAAAAATTATTACAACTGTTATTACTTACGTATTAAACATACACATCACATGTCAATATATATAAATTCAAATTTATTTAAAAAATTGAAATCATACTACACATTGTAGTCTGCTGTAGAACAAAGAATAATATTACATGAAATTTTGCAAGTCTGTTTAAACCTAATTATAATAATTGTTATATAGGTGATTTCTTATAATATTAATAGAAAGTTTTATGGCTGTTAAAGATCCGCAGCAAACCTGCCGACTAAGCGAATTTTAATTTCTCTGAATGATTTCCAATTAAATATATTTAAATAACATTAGGTGAGTACCTAGGTTTGCTGCTACAAGGAAACTTAAACTAATAAATTGAGTTTTAGTAAAATATGAATAGCTTAGTATAAAATAAATAAATTTGCCAAGTTTGATCAAAATATATCCATAAACAAGCAAACTACAACATTTTAAATATTCTCCATAAGAATAAAATGGGAATTTTAAATTTACAATTTTTTGAATTTTCTCTGTTACCAATAACCATACAAAAACACTGTGATATACTAAATATTTTTTTAAGCTCTTTAGTAAGGTCTAGAGATAAATTGGGAAATTTTGTGTTTTGAGGGTCAAAAATGAGAAAACCCAATTTTTACCCCCGTAAAACCCCGTTCCCATGGTCCGATCATGCTGGTTCCCAAACTCATTCAAGTTTATCCTGCCTTACACCTTTAAACCAAATTTCATCAAAATCTGACAAAAATTACTCAAGTTATCGCAATCACATACACAAATCTATATATCTATAAAAATTTGAACGAATTGTGTTTTTGGCCTCTGGGGACATCAAAATGAAAAAGTAAATCGGTCCTGGGCCTAGGTCTTACCGTGCCACCTATGGTAATAGCTACTTCCCTATAGGGAAATTCGCTAAAAACGCCCTTTACAAAACATCCTACTCAACACAGTAATAGTTGAACATTTTCAATAATTTTGGTGAATAAACTATTTGGCAAAATATAAGTTATAGACATAGTTTTTTTTTCACAATAATTATGTTTAGTGAAATTGATTTTCTAGTCCATAGTTCTTGTGGAATAATTGAAATTCTTAAAACTAAATACAGGATGATGCAAGGATGGCTTTTCTACAATGAGAAGACATTTTGGACCAACGATCGAGCAGAGGCCTTGATAAAGAGTGTTCCGATTGTGAGTAATTTTGTTTCATTGTTGTCAGGATGATGCAAGGATGGCTTTTCTACAATGAGGAGACATTTTGGACCAAGGATCGAGCAGAGGCCTTGTTAAAGAGTGTTCCGATTGTGAGTAATTTTGTTTCATTGTTGTCAGGATGGCTTTTCTACAATAAGAAGACATTTCGGACCAACGATCGAGCAGAGGCCTTGTTAAAGAGTGTTCCGATTGTGAGTAATTTTGTTTCATTGTTGTCAGGATGATGCAAGGATGGCTTTTCTACAATGAGGAGACATTTTGGACCAAAGATCGAGCAGAGGCCTTGTTAAAGAGTGTTCCGATTGTGAGTAATTTTGTTTCATTGTTGTCAGGATGGCTTTTCTACAATAAGAAGACATTTCGGACCAACGATCGAGCAGAGGCCTTGTTAAAGAGTGTTCCGATTGTGAGTAATTTTGTTTCATTGTTGTCAGGATGATGCAAGGATGGCTTTTCTACAATGAGAAGACATTTTGGACCATGGATCGAGCAGAGGCCTTGCTAAAGAGTGTTCCAATTGTGAGTAATTTTGTTTCATTGTTGTCAGGATGATGCAAGGATGGCTTTTCTACAATGAGAAGACATTTTGGACCATGGATCGAGCAGAGGCCTTGCTAAAGAGTGTTCCAATTGTGAGTAATTTTGTTTCATTGTTGTCAGGATGATGCAAGGATGGCTTTTCTACAATGAGAAGACATTTTGGACCATGGATCGAGCAGAGGCCTTGTTAAAGAGTGTTCCGATTGTGAGTAATTTTGTTTCATTGTTGTCAGGATGATGCAAGGATGGCTTTTCTACAATGAGAAGACATTTTGGACCATGGATCGAGCAGAGGCCTTGTTAAAGAGTGTTCCAATTGTGAGTAATTTTGTTTCATTGTTGTCAGGATGATGCAAGGATGGCTTTTCTACAATGAGAAGGCATTTTGGACCATGGATCGAGCAGAGGCCTTGTTAAAGAGTGTTCCAATTGTGAGTAATTTTGTTTCATTGTTGTCAGGATGATGCAAGGGTGGCTGTTTTTTCATGAAATATTATTTTGGACCAAAGAGAGAACTAAAGCTTTACTAACGTCAGTCCCAAAAGTAAGTTTCCAAACAATTTACTATGGTATGGATAAATAAATGGTACCTATCAGCAATCTGACACATACCTCTCCCAATAGCTTAAAATTGCTTATCATGCGGTAGGAGTAACGATGATTTTGGGAAATATTACAAATTTGTAATAACTTTTAACCGTAATTTTTTATTAAAGGTGTGGTTGTTCCATTTGGCTTAAGGTTAAAAGGACTATAACAAACAAAATTTTAGTCAGAATCATTCAAGTATACACCACTAGTGCTAGACACCACTTAAGTGTACTGTATGTATTGTTAGTGTCCATGTTTCCTCTGTACCTTACTTCTCTGTGGTTTAGGGGGAGAAAGTAGAAATAGAAACACATCCTTTAAAAACCAAAAGTGGGTTTTATGAATTAACCCTACTCCTTTGTAGGTTTATCATCTTATGGATCAGCTAAAAACAATTTTAATGGTTTATTTCTGTCTGTGGGTTTTCAAGTTTACTATTTATTTATTACTAGAGGCCTCAGCCTGGTAAAGGGCCCCTCTTAAAAAATTATTTTCCCTAACAATCTGTTAGGGGGTTTGATTTTTGGAATGAGTCTTTATTCCCGCATTCATCAAAAGAGTCTGCCAAGATAGAGAAGATTGCAATGAAAAATACAATTTTGCTACTATCGCAAGGAGACAATGATAAAGTCTCTGCGATTTATAATGTGGTAACTTCCCAGTATAAGTATTAAAGATGTCGTGAAAGAGAGCTGCGTGTTCAGGTACAACCTCGGCCAACCTTAACACGTAAGGTATGAAGGTTCCACTGCTTTTAACATCCTTTCAGATGACAATTTCTCGAAATTGGGCCCTTTAAATGAAATATAAAGTCAAAGTTGATTAAATTATTTGAATGGTGGATTCTGTTCACCCGTGAATTCGCGGGTAGAACCTCTTCTATAATATTATATTACTTTATCTATGCATGTACCATCTACTATTTTTATGGTTTTTTTAATATCATTAACATTTCAGGGTAGAATGCTGGTTTTGGACTTGATGTCCGAGTTGAATCCACAGTTTGAAAGGCTTGAGTCATACTTTGGACAGCCTTATATTTGGTGCATGCTTCACAACTTTGGAGGGACTTTGGGCATGCATGGTACAGCCAGAAGAGTGAATGAGGTAAGCAAATACAATTTCACACTACTCACTTTTCTCACTATGGAATTTTGAAACTAAATTTTGCAATCTATATATTAATTTGAAACTGTTTTTCTTTGTGACAGCTAATTTGAGAGAACGGCTCGGCGTAGAAACTCAGTAGGGGTCTCTAAAGAAAGGTCTTGGTCTGTAGATGAGCCATCAAAAGAGAAACGTGGTAAACTCCCTTGGGGCTCTGCCCCAGTGGCCTTTAAATTCCCATCCCATGTTATTCTTATGGAGGAAAAACGGGCTTTTGTCACAGCTAATTTCAGAGAACGGCTGGGTGTAGAAACTTGGTAGGGGTCTCTTAAGAAAGGTCTTGGTCTGTAGATGAGCCATCAAAAGAGAAACGAGTTAAATTCCCTTGGGGCTCTGCCCCAGAGGCCTTTAAAGTTCCCTCTTCAGATTTGTTTACATTACGACCATATGCATAAATTTTCACTACTCTTTAATGAAACAGCTGTTAATATTTAAATTGTGATTTACTGAATCTGTCAAAATGAAATATTTGCAATGTTTTATTCAGATTTTAAAATCGATTTTATTTTGCATCGTGTCATGTTTTGCAATACTATATAATGTTCTATTACCAAATCAGTGGAAAATATCACAGTAACTCTTAAGATTATTTCTTATGAAGTTAACTTTATTGTATGGGTTGGTTTCTGCCTTTTTTACCACTTCTTGGAGATTGTACGTAGGTGATATTCTTTGGCGTATTGCATCTGTAGACTATAATTGGGTTGGTGTAATTATTACAATGGAAAAAAAGCGAGAAATTCTGGACAATTTGATACTGTATAGCCTACTAAAAATAAAACTGAATTAACACTGTGCTACATTTCTTGATCAATCATTGAAAGAGCCGATTTGCAAACAATGGAAACATAGAAAAGTCATAGAACACAACCAAGTACAAGAAATACAAATGTTTTTTTTATATTTATAATCGTTATTACAGACAACCTAATGCGGGCTAAGCGGCTATGAGTGGGTAACATTTGTAGAAAACACTAAAAAGCAAGATCAACTATTGAAAAAAGATAAGATATTTACAAAAAAATTTGATTATGTCTAACTGTACACATCGTGAGTATTTCCATAATCTTTGAGTCCACTCTTATAAAGTCATCGGAAATTATGACTGTTATTCGTTTTAAAATAACGCCTTTAATGCTTCGCAATTGCTCGAATTCGAGCAACAGGTACACTAGTTATCTTTTAATTGTATTAAAAATGTCTGTAACTTAATTAGGAGAGAATGACATATAAGCTAACCAAGCTGTTGGTAACAAGCCCTAAGCAGAATTATGTCATATTTTTAACATTGCAATAAAAGGGGTAACTGTTGAAAAACTGGTGTACAAGGTTATAGATGTGTTTGATACAATCGTCATGAAGCCTGGAATAAAATACTGTACTAACATTCACCAATGATTTGAGTTATCTGGTAATGCTGTGTCAGAACCACAGACAAAGGAATAAGTGCTTACCGTATTCTTTGTCTGCGGTTAGAACCTTCTTAGGCTGTTTGCCTTTCAAGGGATAAAGCTTATAAAATATTGCAATTTTTCCCTAAAAACTGCTTGAATCTACACACTGTCCTTATTTTTCAGAATGTGTTCAAAGCTAGAGCTGCAGCTAACAGTTCAATGGTTGGTATTGGCCTGACTATGGAGGGGATACAACAGAACTATGTCATGTACGACCTTATGATGGAGATGGGATGGAGAGTAGAACCAACCGACCTCTCTCAGTGGTTAGTGAATCATCATTCATAGCCTGATGGTTATATTGTTTTTATTATTTGGATTTTTTTACTTTTTTGGGGTTTTGTTAATTGTGTGCATGTTTCTTGAAGTACGCAAATAAATTGTGTTGAGGTTGTATATGGTGTTTTACGACCAACAATAACGATAATCAGTTGAAGTAGTTATTATCAACTCCTCATGCCTTGGAAGATGGATTTGGTGTTAGGAGCCAAAACCACCACAGCAAATGATTGCCATAAGCTAACTATTAGCTATACTATAAGCTAACTATAAATACATTGATAATCTAGGGGCTGAAACAACGTTCTAAAAACTAATATGATTTTTTTCTCTCTGAGATTGATAAAGATAATGTTGTCTAGGTTCAGAAACTATTCCTCTCGCCGCTATGGTCTGGACAATAAACATCTGGATACTATGTGGCAACTACTCAAGGTACACTTGTTTGAATGTCAGAAAGTATTTCTTTTGAAAAAAGCATAGTCTTCTTGTGTGATAGCAAAAGTGTTATCAAAAGTCAACAATTATTATAATTTTTTTGCTTTATTTAGTTTATAAGTTCTAGTAACTTTTAACAACTGGTATTGGAATTGTTATAAATAGGTACCTAAGAATAAGAATAAGAATCATTTATTGTCATTAGACACAGTTGTGCAATAGACATTGTCAAACAAGCCACTAGTACAAAATTAATTGTTCCTATGAGTTCATTTTCAAGACAATTTGCGACAAACCGAATTGTACTCAGTATTTCTCTGATTATAGTCGTCCCTCCTAAATTTTGACAAGTTATAGAACAAAATATCTCACGTTTTGATATAAGTATTTGTTGTCTTTTAACAGGATAGCGTGTACGACTACAAGTCAGTATGGCAGAATCACGGACGATACATTGTTGTAAGAAACCCTTCCCTGCGACTTCAACCAAACGTAAGGTGTTATTTTATTTTGAACTTAATTATTTTACTTTTTTTTAATTATTAACTGTGCTGGGTCCAGGGACAAATGTGTTTTTCTTGTGCTTCATAGTTTTTGCATTACATATTTTTTTGGGAAAGGATTGTCATATTCTAAGGTGGTCATGGAAATCTGGGAACTTTCTTCTAGAGCATACCTTCAACCATTATCTCCTCGGGCCCTAACTTCAGCCTCTCACATATCTTACAATGTCATTGACTCTTCCTACTCAGCAGTCATTCATCATGAAGCTTTCGATAAATTGTCCTGGCTTAGTAAAAACCTGATTTTAGTCAGTAACAACGCACAGATCATCCACTCAATTCTACACTAACATTTGCACTCTTAGCATTTGTACTCAGCTTACTTATGTCGATGTCTTAGTGAAGTGATATAGGTACTTCTTTTCTTTCCCCACCGATGGCTGATTGTTCTTCTCACTTCACAGGTGTGGTACAACACTACTGATGTGATGGAGGCATGGGACGAAGCTCTGATGGCTGTACAGTCCGCTCAATCACTGGCGGAGTCGCCAACATTCAAACACGACCTAACAGACCTAACCAGACAAGCTCTACAACTAAAGGTCGACTTCATGTACAGTCAAGTTCTCAAGGCATATTACAAGAAGGATCTTGCATACCTCAGGTGCTTTGGTATTTAAATTTAAAGGATTGTTGCTGAAATTTTTCGTCACGACTAAACAAATTATCATAACAGTTAGTGATCTGGAATTTGATTGCATCCGTGAGAAAGCACCTCTAATAAAACACTATTAAATACAAACCTAGCCAAAGCTGGAAAATTTCAAAAGAAACCCCAAAGAAGGAACGGTATACAGTAATAAAGTAGTCAAAACAAGTAAAAAAGTCCTTTTTAAAAACTGAACCCAACTTTTGTTAATCATTGGATTTGTTTCAACAGCTGATCTTAGTTTGTTAACAAAGCCTCAAACATTATCACTTCATTCTACACTCATATTCTCATATTTAGGTTCAAATACTCAACAAGACCTAACTACATTTTGTCATTCTCCTAAATGTAAATGGTCCATTTTCTTTTTTCAGAAATGCAACTGGAACGTTTCTTGCTGTTATGGACGACCTGAACTCTCTGTTGGCCTCAAACAAGTGGTTTCTATTGGGCCCTTGGCTTGAGTCAGCTAAAGAAAGAGCATCAAGTCCTCAGGTAGAAGCAGGATTAATATCACACAAATTTATCAATTGATTTTTTCTTTGACAGTTTAATAGCTATAGTGGATAAGCAAAGAATTGAGTGAGTGGACCATGCAGAACCTCTTGTGCATATAAGCTCTTGTCTGGGTAGTTAAATGCTCACTTTAAAATCTGAAGGTTGCTACGGTTTAACGCAGAGTGGGATTAATTGTACATCCAGAAGCAATTCAATCAATGGTGCCCAATGTCATAAGGTCGAAAGGTCAACGTTAGATTGCCAAAAGACCTGTGTTTTGAACGTTCTCTTATAAAAAGCGCAACAGAACAGAAGAGACTTTTCCCTCAAATATGCTATAGCTCGTGCGTTTCCTGGTGAAGCCTGGGGGTAGGGGGTTATAGTGGCTCTTGACCGTTTTTGTAGGGGTGGGGGTACGTCGAAAATCAATCTGCGCTCTCATCCTGTCCGAGCTACATAGCGGATACACTCTTTTTCAAAAACATTCGGGATGTCAGTTCGATTATCTTAAAACTTGAATTGTTTATTTTTAAGTATACAGTGGTTTGAAAATAAATTTTTTTAGGTATGTTTAAGCCATAGTTTCGTATATTAGTAATGCATTATTTGTACTTGTTTTTGCCCACCAAAAATCTCTGGCTCGTTAAAGAGTAATTTTTGGAGTATTAAAAATAGCCAACTCTAAATTTTGATGTCGAGAATTTTATAAAATATGCTATTCTCTGTTCTAAAACATTTTTATATTCCTCTTAATGAGGTAAGAAATTAGATATTTATTGAAAATGCGCGTTTTTGTTATGGAACCCTTAGTTAGCAGACATTAATTTGATCACACAACTCATGCGAGCAGCCTGAACCGTCTCTGCATCGTGGTCCGAACTCCAAAAAATGTCTTTAGTCAGACTAGAAGCAGAATATGAAGATGACGTTAACTTCCCCTCTCGCGCTCGGCTCCCCACTTGCCACTACAGCCCCTCACACCCAGGCTTCACGAAGAAACGCACAAACTATAATATAGGCTCATAAAAACCAAGTAAACCAGCAAATAATGGTGCGATTGTATATTTCAAAACTTTTATTTTTAGTCTAATTGGAGCTGCATATAGTTTAAATAAGGTATTTTTTCGTTTGAGAAGTTTTAAACATACAATATTTGGAGTACATCTCATTGCTTGGAAGAAGGAGGGACATATGTCCCTTTGTCTTGCAAGTGTTGATTTATTACTTTTGTTTCTTTTATTATTGAGAGGTTCTTTTAAGGGGAAACTGTTAAACTACGGAGGTCCCTCAACAAACTTGTTCAAAGATTAATGCTGCTATCAAACAATAAAAAAGTGTGATGAAATGATTTTTTTAAATTTTCAATAGATTAAAACTTTTTCAAATAACCATTACTGTTTATTCTGCAGAAAATATTTTTCAATCTATTTGAATTTATAGGAAAGGGAGCAATTTGAAGAAATGGCTCGGAACCAAATTACTTTGTGGGGTCCAAATGGAGAAATTAGAGACTATGCATGCAAGCAGTGGGCTCGTAAGTAATTAAAATTAAATGTTAACAAGCTGTTACCCACGGTTTGACTTCATAGGTATTAATAATACTCTTGATTATTTAAGTTAAGCTGAAATAAACAAAACAGAATATAGTAATACTGTACAAACAAATAATCACACCTGATTTTAATAAGGTAATAAATAATTGAAAGAATAACGTCCAAAAAAGTACAGCTGAGGTATTTTTAACATTACAACCTTATAGGGCAATAATGGATAGTTTTGCGCAAGGTTTCTCGTCATGACGAATATTTTAAGTATATGGTTTATGGGGGTGTGACTTTTAGTTTTCTCAGAAGTTAACTACTTTGATGCATAATTTCGGTACTTTGGGTATAATAATATATGGATTTCTATGTTATTTACGTATCATACATTTCAGGCTAAGTCAGTGACATTAGATTTCTGTACCTGAGTCAGTCTTGAGGTTTTAATGGCTGTGTTTATAAAAACTATCTAGAATCTATGGCCCTTTTTAGCACCTTTTTCATTGTTGACGAGGTCTATGTAACTCAATTGAATGACCAATAAATATTTATGATTTATGAAAAAAAAGTTTTAGGAAGTTTAATTGGAAAATTGGCCCAAGATTGGTGACTTTCAATATTTCTGGAGTTGAAATTCAGAAGATATGTTAAATGTATTAACTTAAATCCATATTCAAGATGAATACTACAGGACTAATACCTATGTTTCCTCAAATCATTAAATTTATTAATTTTTTCTGTTTTTCGATTTTGATGTAAGTTATTTACAAAGGCCATTTATATTTGAGTGAATTTCATATGGCTGGTCAGGGTGTACTCTAACGAGACAAAAAAAAACATAAAAATAGCCTTTATATAGTTTTGTTTGAGATAATTTTAAACTAAAATAAAACTACTAATGGTTTTACAATTTTAGATCTTATGGAAAATTATTACATTCCTCGGTGGAAGTATTTCTTCGAAGCCCTAGAAAAGGCAGTTGCGGAAAAAAGTCCCTTCAACCAGAAGTCAGTCAGTACTTACATTTTTAATGAAATCGAGCAACCATTTACTTTCAGAAAAGACCTCTATCCAACATTTGAAATAGGTAAGTTAAATTTTTAATGACTTATTATAAAATTATTGACAGTTTGATTGTTAGTGCTTTTGACAGTGTCTTTGTTAAAAACATAATTTTACAGTTTTAAAATAGGTGTAAATGAACGTGTAAACAAGTTTTTTTCCTTTTTATATCATCGAAACAACAGATTTTAAATAAGTCTAATGGTTACTGATTGCATTTGGTCAACTATAAAACAATTGTCTATACTAACCTAATAATAGCCATTTAATTATGCCTCGCATATGGAGTTAGACTTAAGTTCAACTTCATCTTTATAATAAAGTATGCTATCAACCGCATGATTTAATGTTAGGCCTTGATTAACCCTCTTGCAAGGGCACGAACTTTAATTTAAAGGTTAAATTTAATCAGTTTAAAAAATATTAGATATGGTCAGTTTTTTTTTTATAATTAATTGTTTGTTTATATTTTTCCTGATTTAAGGTCGATTCACACACATCAGTCCAGTCACAGTTCCGTTACAGTCCAGTTACAGTCCAGTCACAGTTGCATCCGCAATTTCTCAGTCAATTGTCCGTCAGTTGGTTTCAGTCAGTCTTCCGTCTCTAAAATTCACAGTAATTTATAGTCCAAATTTTAAATTTATAAACCTATATTCTATCAAATTATCATCGTCCATCTTGTTGATTGTTACAAACAGTACTCAAAATACAAACGCAACCATTTAAATAACAATAACACTATTTTCTAACCTCAAACAGTTCCGTCAGGCGTCCGACCAATCAAAAAGTATCGTTGGAAAGAAATCTGAAATTGACTGACGGATGCCGGTAGAGCGACTGACGGGACTGCAACGGATAAGTGTAGATAGCGCAATAGAAAATCCATTAAAGAATATTTTTGTTAACTGTGACGTGCCTGAAGTGACTTTACTGTGACGTGCCGTAACTGATGTGTGTGAATCGACCTTTAAGCTATTGATTCTTACTATTCGTTCAGTTCAAGGTATGCAACTGGGTAAGGATACTTAAGAGAATAATGTGAGTGTCAAAATCTACTGTAAAAACAGTTTCACACACTTAAAATGCAAATAATACAGGCAAATCTCACTCCGTTGTGACGTACGGGCAGAGCAACTATAGTCAAGATAAATGTATGATAGGTAAGGCTTAATTTCACCTGATTATTTCATCCAACTGAAGTGTTAGGGTGCGATCACATTGCATGCAGGATCGTGCGAGTATAGTGGTTGCGCTAGCTCGCGATTGCGTGCAAGAGAAAAGAAAATAGCTCAGAAAAACAAGGAAACAAATTAAAACCCGTACAGGGTGATCATACTACATACACCAATTTTATTTGTTTTTTAAGCGAGTACGTTCATGCTACGTTTAGTATATAACATATCACATGTTTTAGCGAATTTCCCTATAGGGAAAAAGCTATTACCGTAGGTGGCACAGTAAGACCTAGGACCGGGACCGATTTACTTTTTCATTTTAATGTCCCCAGAGGCCAAAAACACTATTCGTTAAAATTTGTATATGTATATATATATATACGTCCATGAACACGATAACTTAAGTAATTTTTGTCCGATTTTGATGAAATTTGGTTCAAAGGAGTAAGGTGGGATAAACTTAAATGAGTTCGTGAACCAGCATGATCGGACCATGGGAACGGGATTTTACGGGGGGTTTTATGGGGTAAAAAACAGTTTTTCTCATTTTTGACCCTCAAAACACATTTTCCAATTTCTAGGAAAACAACTAAACCATTTTAGAGAGCTTCAAAAAAAATTAATATATCAAAGTGTTTTTAATTGTTATTGGCAATGGAGAAAATTCTAAAAATTGTAAATTTAAAATTCCCATCTTATTCTTATGGAGAATACTGTAAAATGTTGTAGTTTGCTTATTTATGGATATATTTTGATCAAACTTGGCAAATTGATTTATTTTATACTAAGCTATTATTATTTTACTAAAAAATACACTTTATTAGTTTTCTTGTAGCAGCAAACCTATTTACTCATTAAACCTAATGTTATTTACATAGATTTAATTGAAAATCAATTCAGACAAGTGGAAATTCGCTTAGTCGGCAGGTTTGCTGCGGCAGGGTTATTTATCTCTAGTTTCTGCTTTCTTATAGATGGATAAACTTTCATTTGAGTTAGTCCGTGCTAAAAGACCAATATAAAAGTGATGAAAACATTCCAACAGAGAAATAGAAGTTTAACATTTTTCCGGATGCCTCAAAATGTCTGGTAAAATGCGGTGGTATTCTCGTGCTACTTCTCTGTCAACGAAGTAATCGTTTACCTATTCTCCCCTAAATCGTTTGCTATCCACTACCAAGAACTTGAAAACACTACTTTCCACCATCACATGACTCCATCTTTTGCATCAGCCAGCTATATGTTAGTAGGTGCAAGTTATGTGAACTCGTGCAAGCAAGTTGTGCGAGCTCGAGTCACTTAATGCACGTGCGAGCAATGTGATCGTAGCCTTAGTCTTAGTCTGTGTCTGATTGATTCTTATTTCGTCCACCACTGAATAAAAAAATTATAAATAAATATTTTAATCTATTATGTATTTTGGTATTATTGCTGTGTTTTAGGAGACACTGTTGAAATATCTAAGAAGCTGCACAAAACTTGGCGTCGTCTCTAACACCATTACAAGGAACCAAATTGTAGCTGTGTATAAAATAAAATGAATATAAAAGTAAAAAAATATAATTTTGAATAATTAAAACTATTCCAGTAATTTCACTCATATAGAGCATCATGGGATTTGCTCAAATTAAAATCTAGTCTCCTAACTAGATTTATATTCAAAAGCAAAATAAAGTCTCATGTGAAAGCTTTTTGGGTACTTTTGTATTATACGGATGCCACCCTTATACAGCACGCTGCAGCGGTTACGTTAGGTTATCAATTATCATAAATATGTTTGTAGGAATTTCCTAGTTTTGTTATGAATCAAACAATACCAAATGAGACATACTTTTGCCCGCCAAATCCCCTCCAAGTAGGCCAAGGTCAGGTCTTTGACCGAAGTGTGCATAACCTGTCCACCTCCTGTTTCTGGTCCAGTGTCCTAAGTGAGAACTTATCTAGTATCCTTCGATTCACAATGAAACTAGGAAAGTCCTACAAACATATTTATGATAACGCAACCTAACATAACAGCTGCAGCGCGCTGTATACCTACTTGGCGTACATGTGGCAGGGAGCTAGCGCACATTCAACTCAATCCTCACCGACATCGCTGCCTTCAGGGAGGCATAACTCAAAGGTCGCTGATCGTAATCATGTAAAATTTGGATAGTAGGAGACGATAATGTTGTTTGTTATCTGATGATGTCATAGGTAATTTTGCCGCGATCATGGAAGACGATGATGACGCCTCGGGAGACGCCGTACCAAGCTAAAGTGCAAGTTTAGGCGGTAATACATGTGATATAATATTTTTTAAGATTATTGGGAGGGGGCCCGGTGAACAAACTTGCGGGGGGGGCCCGCGGGCTCTTATCGCCGCCACTGTAAGATGGATATTTATTTAAATTTATTGCTCTTGGCAATTTTTACATTGTGTAGCATAGTTATTCTAATACTTATAGTTACATAGAGGTTTTTTTTATTAAATTACACTTTAAATAAAAGTTAACTTTTAACAAATAAAACAATATATTAAAGAAACGGAGGAAAACTACAAAACATTGTACATTTATCAGGAAAGCCTTAAAACATTTAACTCTTATTAACCCATGGGGAATGTAATACTGTGCCCTTATCTCCAACAGTGCGCATTGTACTCATACACCAAATAGAACGCCTGATTTTTCAGTTTCGTTTAGAATAGATAAGAACTTTTAAGCCTTTCAGGAAGACAGTTAAGGAGCCTGACACCTACTTGAGAAGGAAGTTTCTCAAATGCAGCTGTTCGGTGTTGGACAGTGCAAAAACTATTCCTTGCTCTAGACCCGTGGCTGTGCACAGCAGTGCCTTGGATGGGCACATTTTGAAACTGGCAGTATACAGCGGTTTCCAATATAAGGTAGGGTCAAATTTATAGTAAAATGCTCACACTGTACACAGGAAGAAAGAAGTATAATGTTCAAGTGATTGATTTTTTCTTTCTCCCTTATCCACAGTATATGCCATGGAGAAAGTACGGTATTGTTTTCATCAAAATTTTTGAGTTTTGAGTGTATACTGAACCCAAAAAAGTGGTTTTCAAAGTGATGTCTGTAAGTGTACAGAACTACAACAAACCACAACTGTTATCCGATTTTGATGAAATTTGGTACATAATGTACTAATCAATTATATCTACAGGCATTTTTTTTTCATTTTTCAAACTTTTTATTTTGAGTGGTAATCTAATATATAAAATAATGGAAAAATCAGATTTTCTCAAAAACGGCCGAACGATTTTGATCAAAATTAGTAAGTCCTTTAAAATCTGAACCTAATGGTACAATTTCCATTCCCGTCAAATTTACTGTTCCAAAGGTATTGTCAGATTTTAGGAAAAAAACCGGCTTTGATTAAAGTTAATGTGTTATGGTCCTTATAGTACTAAACAAAAATAGTGCATTGCTGTAAAATTTACTGTTGAAAAGCTATTGCAACTTTTGTGATTCATTCCTATACAATATCATAGTTAGGCCTACTCCCGCTGCTTACACGTGGTAAAGGTTTTTTACAAGCTTATTGGAGAAAGTATATGTCAGCATTGACTATATATACCTACAGGAGAGTCTCTTCCATTAAGATTGTGCATAATAATCAAGAAAAATCAATAACAGCGCTGCATAACTTACTAAACAGTGATATACAAACAGGGAGCAAATTAAGAAAGCTAAAAAAAAGTGTGAGTGTTTGGGTGGTACAAACACAGCCATATAAGTTAATAATTCTAAACCACCCGAAGTGAAAAATAAACAGATCCAAACCAGGAGTTTACCCAAGTTGTCTACTGGAAGGATTAAACCAGGGCCGCGTTAAGGGTCAATCGAGCCCTGGGCAAACCCAAGAGTAGCGCCCCCTTATTTCCTATTACTGGCTGGCGGTGGTTTGGGGGCACCCAGCGGGCGCCCCTAAACCACCGGCGCACCTGGGCATATGCCCAGTCTGCCCGTTTATAAAAGCGGGCCTGGATTAAACTAGGTTTAAATTAGGATTAACTCTATTGCCTGATAAAATACAGTATTAGGCAAATGAAAACAAACTTATAAATAGGTAAATTATTTTTATTTACAAACAGTAAAAAATATGGTAATATTTTTTGCAACTTTCAGTTACTTATGGTTTCTTTTATCCAGTCCTTGTAAAAAAACACATCCACATAAAGGGCAGGGTAAGTTTCTGGCTGAGTGCAGTCCACGGAGCCTTGGTATAAACCAACTACTGTCAGTTTCCTGCTTAGCGGTGCACCAAAGTCAAACTGTAATTATACAACAATATAAACCATTTATCAACAGACATTGACTTCTAGCTTAAAGGGATAATTGATTGTCCTTGACAAAAATAAATTTGCCAAGTTTGATCAAAATCTATATCTATAAAAGAGGAACTATGTATGTGTGTATATATGTATATACGTTATGGACTCTGAAACCGCTCAACAGATTGTAATGAAACTTTCAGGCGTTACTATGAATCTTTTAAGGATGGTTTGAGTGAAGTTTGGTGCAGATCCGTCAAAAGGGCTCCACCCCAGAGGGTGTTAAGTGGGCCAATGTCAGACTTTTTGAACTACAATGTTTACAAATAAATATAATTTACCTAACCCGCCATGTTAAACTTCCCTATCCCAAGCGTGATGTATACAACTTCCATACTTCTTGAGTGATGTAAAGTTGAAAAAAACTCATTCGGTGATGTAATGAAACCCATTTAAATAACATTGAGTGCTTAACTTGAAAAAATATACCTCTATGGAGGCATCGACGTTCAACGCTAGAAATCAGCTGTGCGCTTGAATCAGGGGCGTCATTTTGGGGAGCAGGGGAGCATTTGCCCCCCCTGGATCCTGGGCTAGAGAAAAAAATATGCTGTACCAGCCAATATACAAATATTTTCTCCTGTCAAATCCTAAAAAGCACAGCAGACAAAAATCTGCATATTCTTGTACAGTAATTTCAAACAAAAATTATTATTGTTTTATTGTCTTAGATAGCACATTTTGAGTTTACATAAATTAGTAGTTTTGTTATTCATTCACTTTTTCTGTTTGCTGCTGTACGATAAACCACTTACTTCTAGTTTATATATACACATAAAAATTCAGATCATTTAGAAGCATTGCTTTGTCATTTACATTTATGAATTATACATATGTATAAATTTTATGTAATTTATTTTGAACATTGTAGACTACCAATTTAATATATTTAAATAGAACCTTTTGTACTTTTGTGTCAAATTATTTTATTGGTGATAAAATTTGATTTGCTTTTAAGTTCTTCAATACTTGTATTTAATTTAAAACCAAAATAAACTGTTATAAACTATAGGCTATGAATAACCGTATTCATTATTAAATATTGTACAAGAGAAATTGGTCATGAATCTAACAACAAACATAATATTAATACATCATGGAACTATTGATTACAAGTTGATTACAGTTTGATTAAGTTTGATTACAGTTTGATTAAGTTTGATTACAGTTTAATAACTGAGCTCCTTAATGCCAAAACAACAATAAAACACCTTGAATCCACTGAGGCCCGTGACATCTCACGAGTTGTCATTTCAAATAAAATTAAGAATGTTTTAAAAAACCTTGTTCCAAGAAATAAATATGCCGCAAAATATAAGAACTTGTCATTCACGGCTACTTCAATCAGAAATAAACTACAAGAAAACAACGCAGTTATCACCAAAGCGGATAAAGGGAATTTGTATTGTTATCTTAAACAAGGATGATTATGTCAACAAAGTCCACAATTTCATTAACGATAACAACATTGAACTTTTAAGCCATGACCCAACTTCCTCGTTTTCAAAGGACATAAACAAAACTATTTCACTCAGCACCAACCTTTTAACTGCAGACGAAATTAAATACTTAAAAGTGACAAAACCACAAGCACCAATTTTACGTGGTTTGCCGAAGATCCATAAGACTAATATCCCGATCAGGCCTTTAGTTAACTTCACCCCTTCGCCCGCTTATAAAATAGCTAAGACTCTCGACAAAATCATTCGTAGAGAAACTAAGTTAGAGAATAGCCATTCCATTAAAAACACCTTAGAGTTAGTCGACAAGTTGTCAAAAATCAATTACAATCCACGATACAGCATGGCCTCATTTGATATTGTTAACCTGTTCACTAATGTTCCAATCAACGAAACAATAAATATTCTAAGGAATAATCTTGATAAAAACTCCACGTTATCAGATCACGCTAAAGAAGAATTGTTAATCTTAACCGAAGCAGTATTAAAACAGAACTATTTTATGTTTGATCATGAATATTACATCCAGAACGAAGGCATGGCCATGGGATCTCCTTTGTCCAGCGTACTAACTGAGCTATTTTTAAACAAAATCGAAGTAGAACACCTTTGGTCTGATAAGAACCGCCAGAAAGATAAGATAATATTCTATTGCCGCTACGTCGACGACACGTTCCTTCTCTTTAATGGTAACATAAGACAGCTTAATATCCTCAACTCATATCTCAATTCCATCCATAAGAATTTAAAGTTTACTTTAGAGGAAGAGAACA